CCGCCTCCTTAGGGTGAGGGGTGGTTTCGACTAGATGACCTCCAAGGTCCCTTCCAGCCCCGGTTATCTGTTTAAGTGGCCTTGGCGGGTGCGTGCAATGAAGCCCAATCCCACCCCGAAGCACCGGGACTCCAGCTCCCATCACCCGCGGCCCTTAAAGCCGAGCGAGCCAAGGCGGCGTTGTTTCGCCTCACCCGGCGTCCCCGGCCCGCCTCGCCTCGGAGGCTGCGAAGGAAGCGGCCGGACAACCGGCCTCGCCTTTCAGCCGGATCCGCTTCCCCGCCGTAGCCTTTGGCGCGGGGCCCAAGCCGGCCTTCCGACCTCCTTTCCGCGCGCCGGCTTCCCGTTTCCAGCCGCGCTTCGTTCGTCGCCCTCGCCCGCCCGCCCGCCCGCCCAGGAAGGAAGCGCCGCTGTCGGTCGTCGTCGTCGTCGTCGGGACGGGCCCAGGGGGGGGGGGGGGGGTGTCCCCCGCAACCTCCACCGCGATGCGCCTGGACGGCTAGAGCCGCCCGGGCGAAGAGACGGGGCTCCGGATGCTGAGCAGCCGCTCCCTGCGCTCCCTCCGGCTGCCCGGCGAAGGCGAGGCCGAGGCGGCGGGGGTGACGCTCCGGGCCGTCCGAAGCCGCAGCCCCGAGGAGGAGCCGCCGCCGCCGCCGCCGGTGAGGAGGGGGGGGGAAGGGTCCTTCCCTTCCCCTCAAGGCGGGCGAGGATGGCGCTGCTGCTTGGGCGTCCCCGGAGCTGCTGGAATGCGGCCCGGCCTGTTTGGGGAAGTGGCGGCGCGGGGCGCGGGAGGCGGCTGAGGCGGCCCGCAGCAGGTTGGCGAGGCGAGGCCCGTCGGCGTCGTCGTCGGGCGAGGGAGGAGGGGCGGCGGCTCTCCCCCCTCCCCATGAAGGGCCTCCTCCGCCTGGGGGGCTGCCTGGAGCCCGGCGCCGAGGGGCCGCCGCCGCCGCTCTCCCGCACGCGCTGGTACTGCCGGCCCGCCAAGGTGGGTCGAGGCTGAGGGGAGCCCAGCAAGGCCGGGGCGGGGTGGCGGGCGGCCTCCAAGTCGGCTGAGGGACCGTCTTCTTCTTCCCCCTCACAGGCCCCGCCGACGTCGTGGGAGGAGGCGGAGGAGGGCGCCGTCTACACCGTCAGCGCGCGGGGCGCCGGCGGCGAGGTAAGCGGGGCGGCCGGCCCCGTCGAGGATGAACGCGGGGTGGGGGGGGGGGGGGGGGGCCTCAGGCCGCCGCTTTTTCCCGCCTTTTTTCGTCTCCTTGCAGGTCGAGGGAGCCCGAGCCGCCTCTTCTTCTCAGTCCCGGGCGCTGAAGGCCGGCTCGCTGCCCCGCCTGGTGCGGCACCTGCTGGACGCTCCGGCTCTGGGCGACGCGGGCTACCGGCCGGCCTTCCTGGCCACCTATCGCGGCTTCGCCCGGCCGGCCGTCGTGCTGGGGCTGCTCCTGGAGAGGTGGGCGGGGGGGGCGGGGGGGGGCTGGCCCGGGGGAGGGGGCGGGGGGGGGGGGGGGCAGGTGGACTTCAACTCCCAGAATCCTCCAGCCAGCAAACGTGGCCTATTTAAGACCGGCGGACTTCAAGTCCCAGAATCCTCCAGACAACAAACATGGCCGCTTTAAGACCGGCGGACTTCAACTCCCAGAACCCTCCAGCCAGCAAACATGGCCGCTTTAAGACCGGCGGACTTCAACTCCCAGAATCCTCCAGCCAGCAAACATGGCCGCTTTAAGGCGGGCGGACTTCAACGCCCAGAATCCTCCAGCCAGCAAACATGGCTGCTTTAAGACTGGCGGACTTCAACGCCCAGAATCCTCCAGCCAGCAA